GAAGAAAGTTTATTCGTACTTTGAAAAATAAACTTTCTTCGTCATTTTGATGACGTCTAGAATCGTTTGCCGTTTTGTTGACACCCTGTATATGTACGTGCCGCGGTAGAAGGATAGAAAACGCAAGAGATAGAACGTAAAATGGAGAAGGAAGGAAAAAGAGAAAGAGAGAGAGAGAGAGTATAGAGAAGACGGGAGCCCCATGTCCATCTACGTAAGGTCGGTAGCTTATGGGCCACCTAGCCTCGAAGCAATAGCCGACCGTGTTCCTCGAAGGGTGGACAACCCCTTTGCCCCTTCTCATCCCGAAGGTTTTATCTTTTTAGTATTATTGCGCGATCGCCGCACTGACCACCCTCCCCCCCCCCTCCCACCCTCCCTTCGAAGGACACGAGGAAAAGGAAAGTGGGTAGTGGGTAGTAAGCTCGAAGGGAAGAAAGGAGGTGATCGGTGCCGGCTGCGATCTACGAACTGCCGATTCGGACGACGGTTTGAGAACGTTCTCTCATTAGCATAGGAACGACATGTCACTGCAATTCTGCACCATTCGAAACTGTACCGCGGGAATCCAGGGAATTGGACGTGTTCGAAGATCGTGTTCGGGCGATTTGCGTTTAACGGAATTATGTACTTTGCACGTTTTGATAGATCGGACGTCGGGGAATTTAGTCGGTCGTGCAGAAAAATTGCGAGAGGATTGTAAGAATCATTTTTAGATAATGTTTAAACGACGTGAACAATCTTATTCTAATTCTCGTTAGTTTTTACCATTATTACTTTGCGAATGTGTTGTTAAACAGTTTTGTATCAAAATCATGTTCTCATTTAATTTTCGATTTAACACTTTTAATATTCTAAAATATTAACGCTATGAAAATCGATGTAGTCATTGTGACGATAACTTCATATAATTTTCAGCAGTTATTGTCAATACATTGTAGTAGTATAATGTAATATAAAATGTATAGAAAACGATTGATTGTATAGAAAATGATTTTCAAACAACATAGAGTCAATGAAAAAACGCCCAGAAACACACACACACACACACACACACACACACACTAGAAAAATGCATTCATGCATAAAGGATTAATTTTTCACTACAACCACGAGTCTCCTGTATCAAAAGTGAATTACGAAAAAAACAAAACGACCAGTAGGGTGCCGTTGGATATATGCCAGTCAGAGGAAAAGGAAAAGACCATCTCCATTTCCCTTTCAGTAGAATACGCTGTCTGATATGCGCTATCTTTATGGCCGTTACATATATGTAACTTATGTACACGAAGATACCCGCACACAAAACCCTGATGCGTGCACGCATGCTTACACACGGCCATCGGATCATTTCGATATTGAATCCCATTGATATATCCCGAACTGCGAGCCCGCCCGTTATTATTCCACCTCGTCTAACCACGGTTCGTCGTACATCCACTTTCTTCTCGAGTTCCTTCGGCTCGATCCTCTCAGAGGAGGATCTATAATGTCTCTCATTTCGTCGTTTAATGTAAAATCCTCGAATTCTCTTCTAACGATCCAACAGACATTTTATGTTTATCCCGGAATTATACTGGAATTTTTAATTTCTATTTCATCATATTGAGAAATATATGTTTGGGAATTTAGTCAGATGAAAGTTGATTTCTTTGAAATTATTTCACTGTTGAGAAGTGTAAGAAGAACACTCAGGTTAGGCAGTTATCTATAAATTCACTTGAGAAAATATCTCTCATAAACGGAATACGTGATGATAATTTTAAGGAAAAAAATTTGGGAACAATTTCAATCTAATAGATTAGACCGTGGTTACAATTACAAGCAAACATTTTCAAAACAGCGTCGATAGTTCAATCTAGGAAACTGGAACAACTATAAATAAACTGAATGATAAAATTTCAATCATTTTTTAATGAAAGTATCGCTTGTTAATTTTTTTTTTGTTAATTAATAGTGATTCGTGTACTTTAAGAAAGTTAATGGTATCCTTCATATCATAGTGTAAAGAATCAAATTTAGAGAAAATTGTTAAACCAAATATTGTTAATTAAAAACTTTCGTTTCTTCAGAGGAAAGTCGGTATTTTAATAATAAGAGCGACGAAAACTGAAACTGAAACCTTTCTAATGGGAGAAAACTTTGTAGAACATTACCAAATTCAGTTTCCAAAACAAGAGTCCTTTTCAAAAATTTATGATACTTCGAGCGAATACCGGCTGCCGGAAGCGTAGCATCTTCGAATTTCGGTTGAATTCAGGAAACATGGAGGAAGCTTGTTTCTTGTTTTGAGCAAGTTGGAATTCTTAAAGGACCCGAATATTTCACGTCGCCAAGTCCCATTACGCGCGCGATATTTTATCCTAATATTCGAATCTCCTTTGATTCACGCGCCATCGTATCTACGTGCCAATAAATATTGGACCGCGTGAAATATCAACCGAACGCGGCTCGTTTCTTCTTTCTGTATCTCGTCCTTACTCGTGTTTGATAAAACGTTACCGAGCGTTCGCGTTTTGTACTAAAAAAGTTACCGTATTCATTAAATATCGCATGTAATCACATCTTTTTTCTAAAAGTGGGGAAAACCTTGAAATAATAAATGAAGGATTTGCGTCAAAAAAGGCGAAACGAAAAACTCCTGAAACGAATTGAATGCTATACCAGAGAATGTGGCAAAAATGTAAAATATGAAAAATGGAAGAAAATGTTAAATTGAACAATGTATCTAACACACACCTTTTCCAAATGAACAAAAATTGCACTCGTACTTTTTATTGCCAAGTCTATCCTTTCGCTAGAATTAAAGAAATAGAAACAGAGAGAGGGGGGAATGAGCTTCGATAGATCAAGAAACGTATCACAAGAAGGAAGTTGTTCAGGACAAGAGAAGGACGCCTGAGGCGTTTTATGGGTGTCGATGATGTCACAGATTCGAGCCATAAAACGAAATTTAGTGGTCCAGAGCGACCAGTCGACGCTCCAGTGCGATACA